TTAGATAAAAAACAGATTAAAAAGATAATGTAGAGAAGGATTACATAGCGTTATGTCTGTGAGCTTGGTGCTACAGTCTGCTGAATCATGAGCTGGATAGCATGTGGTTATATCTTCTTACACATCTGTCATTGGTTTCCTCATCTAATTATCTTTAATCATTATTTTCACTGCAATGCAGTATAACTTGGTGATCTTTTGAACATGGCTGCATGATTTGACATATGAGATGAGCAGGTTTTGCAAGTCTAAAACTCCCATTCCTCTAATGCAAACACCGCGCCTACAGTAACTTTTTTAAGGTTTTCCATGATCAGCACAAAGCATACCTGCTTTATGACACTAAATTTCCTTTCCTGTTGCTAATATTATCCTGTCTATATTAGCTTTTCATAGGCAAATAGCTTGCTAAGAGCATGCGCATACACCTATTTGGTGGTTGGGTTTTTCCCTGCTTCATAATGTCTTTCAGTCCTTTCCCGAGTGTCATGTTCTTATCTCTAAACTTGTTTCCTTTTTGTCCTGCTCTGGATGAAATGAAAGGGCGAACAGGAAAATTATTAGAAAATCCCCACATTGTGTTCCAGTGGTAAAAGAAACAAAACAATGATAACCAGTCAGTCTCCAAAGATAAGATACATGACGATCATGAATAAAGATAAGCGCTTATTAAAACAGACTGCAACCTGAGAGTTCGGCTCAGTTCTTCCATTCATTTCCTGATCCTTACTGTAACCTTACTTGGCTATAGCTGCTGGCGGGTTGTCACTCACACACCCTCACCTGGAGGCAGTTTTCCATTAGTACCAACTGAGCATTTTTCTGTTCTCTCCAACTTGAGTAATTTCTTAAATTTGTTACCTTTAGCAGTGGCACGGGAAGGGGGGTGCTGCGGGGGCTGCAGCCTCCCTCGTCATAGCATCAGCCCCCCATGGTGGGGGGCTGTGGAGTAACATAATATTGTACTTAAAAACATGAAATTATTTATGTATTTATTTTTTAAAAGACTGTGTTTGACATGGGATTAAAATGATAGGCTGTGTATAAGATATAAACTAATGATTCATTATTTTAATATTTCATAAAAAACTAGGCTACTCCCCCGGAAGCTTCCGCCACCTCACATTCATTTAGGCATGGCTAGCAATAGGCAGCAGAAACGTATTTCTGACTATTTCGAGGTAAGAAATCGTTTTAATTCCCCTATACTGCCGCATTTAGCGTTATTAATGTGCCCATTCATCTTAGTCCTGTGGCTGAAGAAGTCTACGCTAGAATAAGGCTGCATATCACTAAATATTATGTCTGTATTAAGCTATTTAGTGATAAAATATGAAATTAGTTAAATTTTTTTTTTGTGTGTGTGTTTTTTGTTTCAGATATGAAATCATTCCCCCATATCCATAGTCGAATGGACTTTCAAGACGTTCAATGCTCAGTTTAGGCTATATTTAGGCCATGTTTTATTCCTGATCCTGTTGATTGTGAGCTCTTGTTTGTTTTGAATGATTAAAAGAGAAGAAATAAAGTTTAAAATGTTCATGCTTTATTCCGATGCATTTTAAATGGCAGTTAGTTTTTGGCGACAAATGTAGGCCTACAATATTATGTTAAAAACGTCAGCCACAGCCCTCAACATAATGACGTCATGTGTTTTCCAACCCAGCCATCAGACCCCTTTGCTTGAAACAGCTTCCAGCGCGCCTGACCTTTAGTTACCTTTAGTTACCTTCTATGACTGTTGTGGCATCAGCCATCTTCTGTGGAGCTGTCTGTTGGAGCAGTGGCTTATCTGTAGCTGAGAGAAAGTGGCTGGATTAGCTGATCAGAAAGGCCAGCTCTGCGATTGGATGCCCTCTGGACTCAGTTCAATAGGTGCGAAACAAAAGGATCCTAACTAAATTAACATCTCTGTTGGATCATGTCTCCCACCCCATGTAAGCTGTTGCTGAACCAGAGAGCTCCTTCAGTGACTGCTGCAACCTAAATGCACCAGGGAGCATTATCACAGATCCTTCCTCCCAGCAGCTTTAAGACTCTATAACCACCACTATTCCCAAAAACCCCAATAAGTTGTTACAATCATGCTCATTTTGCAGTTTATCTTAGGCAGTTAAAAAACATGCTGCTGTCATTTTTTACATCTCTGATGTTGCTGCTATTTTTAAATATCCATTACTGTAAAAATGTCCACAGCTGTATATTAGTTATTTATTCACCAGGTGCACAGTCTTATATTGTTTATACACTTTACAGTACAGTATTTTATTGTTTATTTTTCTAACTCTTCACTGTTATGTTATTCTTATATATTTTAAGATTTTTCAATTTTTTCTATAATATTTTTGCTGTAAGCACCATAATTTCCCCATTGTGAGACAATAAAGGGGGTTTCTATTCTATTCTATTCAAATTACATTTCACTTTTCACTTAAGTAAAAATGTTGAAGTCATCCTTCTCACATTTAAGTACGATTTTAGGCACCTCTGGAAAAGACCCACTGCTTTATTACCAATAAAATCCGACCCAAATCCAGCAAGACTCTCTGATAGCTATATTAAGCACTTTAGATATACTAACAATATTTATATGATGGATAAAAAGACTTAATCCAGTTAATTGAATAAGGAATTAAAAATAAAATATGTAGGGATTCAGAGTGATTACTATTTTTTCAGAGGAAAAAAGCAAAGTAAAATATTTAGTGTATTGGTATAAAGGCTGTTAATGTGTTCAGAAGGTTGATGATGGCAGGTTTTCTTAAGCAGGAGGAAATAAATACATTGCTTGGCTTAAAAATATCAATCAGCCCCAAAAAAAACTATTCAAAACAGAAACATTTTATACTCGTGTTTTAGCAAATCTAATTCCCAAAGGAGATAAGGTATAATGATTACAAATATTTCATATCTGAATGTATTTTGTCAAATAAATCTATTCATTTCAGAACTACAAAGTTTATATAAGACTGTAAGAGAAAAAGCTTTTTAGGCAATGAAATGTAATCGTTAAATGATTCAAAGTTTAAATTCAGGTTGAAAGCTGTAGCTGTTCTTCCTGCAGTGAAACCCTCGAGGGTGTAAAAGAAAATGATGCAGGGTTTGGAAAATGAAATCATCTGCACCCTAGTGGTAAGAGAGAGTTAAAGAGCCGAAAGCAGAAGAATGTCATCATTTTGGAGAATTTCCATGAAGCAACAGAGAGGAAAACAGCTGCTTCTGCTTTCGCTGGAACAGAGATGCAGAACAACATGGGTTCTAAGTGAAACTCAGAACATTTTAACAAATCTCCTGCTTCCGTTCATCTTTCTGTTTGAAACACAATCAACACTCAGCATTAGATAAGATGAACTTTGGTTAATAAAGATTTAACAACAGATAACAACAAAGAGGAAGAAAGCAGCTTCACTAACTATGGGTTTTAACTCTCATGTAACATTACCTGATAGGACTTTTATTGTTCTATCAAACATCTCCACATCTTAGATTCCTGTGAAAAGCGTTGCTCTACAGCTCCTGCAGATATAAGAAGGATAGCGGCCTACATTTCTGTCCTTAAACAAACCTTTGAAAACCTTTGGGCTTGGTGCAGAATATTAAACCTTATTGGTGATTTTCTATAAACATTATTTATTAATTATCACAGACAAATCATTAACCATAGTTATTTTAAAGATAACATTAATTGACACATATAATTACATAACACCATTAAGACTGAAAACTTCAGTTTGTCTTTTAAGGGCTACAAAATGTTTGCATGTTGTCATAAAAATGATATGTTGTAATAATTGTATTAAGTTGTCTTTATTTATTTTCTTCTTATGTTTGTATTTTAAAGTTCTGACTTTGACATTAAAAAAATGTCTGATAACTGTTAAGGGTTTCCTGATTCGTGGCTATATTTCCTTATTTTAACTTTGCATTTGATTAGTCATTCTAGTGGTCCTATAGTTATGCTTATTACAGCTCATTCGTCTTTGGTCTGCTTGTTGATTTTGCCTCTCATGTTTCATTCTTAGAAGCACTTGCATAAGATTGTGTACATTTCTTCTATTTAAAAGGTTTGAATGAAATTTGACATATTCAAAAACACTCTAACTGTCACAAGCTCAAATAAAACTTTTATTTGATAGTTTGCATGTGTATAGACAGCTGGAGATAGGCGCCAGCACCCCTCGGGACCCCAGCAGAGATGATAAAATGGATGGATGGAGTATAAAGGGGTTTTTTACATGTGGTGCAGTTCAGTTGCGGTTCTAGAGCATATTTTCTAGTGGGGCCAGGGTGTGGTCATGCTGTTATGGGAGCACATAACAGCATGAAATAAAACACAAGGCAATAGGTTTCCTTTTTAATATATTAGGAGAGTCGGTTTGCACTGAATGAAGTGAAATTTCCATGCCATCTGGTTTAATAAAAGTTGTATGTTGTTCCAATTGAAAATTTATATTTTTGGATTGAAAATATACATTTTACTAAATTTTAAAATCCCTAACAATGGGGGAAAAGGAACCGAAATATTTAGTGAGCTAAACAAATATGTACCTAAAGTAAAAAAAAAGCTATTACTTGAAATATTATGTCAATGTAAATTCATAATTCAGGAATATTACATCTGATTTACTTTAAATAACAGTTACCAGTTTTAATCAAAACAGAATTAGAACCCAAGTAAAACTGAGAAACTAGATGGGCACCATAATGTCTGAGCCAAGGTTAAAAATGAATAATAGAAAATTAATTTCATTTAAAGTCCCATTTATTTCTTTTTACTTGGTTAAAACTCAAAAACATGAATCTTCATGTCACAGTTTGTCCTCTTCAATATGGCGACCGTGTTGACGTATGACTACAATAGCCGATTCCGAACTGCCCGCACCAACATGGCGCATTTAAGAGAGGTTGGAGGCGGGGTCAACAACCTGTTGGATTACGGAAAGTTTCGTAACGTCACGTTTCTCGTCACGTAACTACGTCATTACGTCTGAATTATAGGTCGGAGGAGCAGCCGGTTCAGAGCCACAGCAGAGATCCAGCGGTTGACGGACACAGAAGTAACGGAGGATAAGCGGTTCACGAGCTAAACATCGGACCAGACGCCGCTTTTTCTGGACTTAAGTTGGACGCAGGGACGAAGAAGAACAAAACCTACGGAGTCCAAACCCGTTAAAGAAGCAGTAAAATTTGCGGTCAGCGCAGCTTTATCCTCTTGTTTCTAATCTAAACAAGCTGCGAAGTGAGAGGACAGCCATGATTCCCCCCCTGTGCCTCGTGTTGATGCTCGCCGCCTCCGTTTTCTCCGAGTCGGTGAGTCTGTCCACAACCAGCCGAACACACCTTGAATGTTTTAAATGATTAAACTAGGACTTCGCTTATTTTTAGCCTGTTTGTGATAAATATTTAGGCTTCAAGGTTTGGGAGTCGGACTCCCACAGCCTGCTTTTATTATTCCAAACGGGGCCCAGTTTAAGGAGGGGGGAGGTCTCTACATCCTTAAACTGATTATTTTTACCGCAGTTAAACTCCTTTTTTATCCAAACTGACTTCAAGCCAGCGAAATCTGGACATTTTCAAATCGTTGCCAGAAAAAGTCTGAGTAACGCGATGCCGAAAGGCAACTTTTCCCTCCTTCTCCAAACATTTGGGAAGAGTTAAACAGGGACTTCCTGTCTCCCAGCTCCTAAAGGTTGACTTAATCCCGAAAGAATTTGTGTGCTGCGGGTTTGGTAGCGCCACACTCTTTCTGTGCTTTCTGAAGCAGGAAAACCCAGCCAGTTTGGGGTTTTCCACCATTCTGAGCAGAACTGCACAAACAGACTGAGAGTTTATGCTTTAAACTGTGGCTGCTGTTAAAAAAAAAACACTTTCCCTGCAGAACCTCTAAACATTTTCCTCTGATTTTATTCTCTGTCAGTCAGAATCAGCTTGTTTCCATTTAATCAGATTTTTAGTTCTACCCAGGTGGTCTCTGTCCACTCTCTAAGCTGTGGTTTCTATAAAGAGGTAATTTTTAGAAGATAATCCAGTAAAACCCCCTCTTGAGGCGGTTTAAACAGACCCAGATTCTCCATCTGTCATGATTTGGGCCTGATTTATGGAAGCACAGAGAAAGGACCCAGCTGTTGGGATGGGTCAGACATCTACCTGTCTGGACTTGATTTATCACCTGGGTGTTGAAATCCTGGGAATGCCCTGTTGGACTGCAGCAGATGTCTTTACAGAGCCAGATGTTGATACAGGTACCACCAGAACCATCTGGGAGTGAAAACCAGGCACCTGGCGGCACTGAGACCCTGTTTTTCCCCCTTTACCAGCATATAAAATTGGATTTGGACATATTTATTCAGTCTTTTTATATAGACAAGTGTAAACAAAAAGACTTCTGTTTTAGAACAGCTCTCTAGACAATTTCATACATTTCATTAATATGAAATTGTCTAGAGAGCTGGATGGGATCTTAGCATCCAAATGGGATTTTTATCCTGGTGGAAGAGGATCTGATGCTGGAGCATTAGGGGCCTGTTTCCTGGGCTTCACCCCATCAGATGTTGTTGAGCTGCTTCTACTGCCTCCTTCAGCTCCTGAAGCGCTCGCTTCTCCTTGCTCGGGGGAGGAAGACATCCGCCTTGTTGGCAGCCGGTGGATGGTGTGATTGGTTCGGTTCTGTTTGTTTGTTTCCCATCAGTCTTAGCAGGTCTGAGTTCACGTTGCCAACATGTTGATGTTTACATCAACATGTTGATGCCGGCTGTGGGCCACCCACAGCCGGCTCCTCCTCCCACTGGGCCCGGTTGCTGTGCAAAGATGGAGGGAAAGGGCACTAATGGCAGGTTGAGCAGCATGCCGGGCGTGTTTCTCTCTCAGTCTCTAATCATTGGAAAGCCGGCAGGAATTTCTAAGATGGTGACTCATGTGAGCGTTTTTACAGTCCGTGATGTTCCCTCACCTCCTCCCCTCCTTTCCTTCTCCATGCTGGAATGTGACCTTTGGTGATCTTGATCGGCCCTCGGGGGGGATTTTACACACTTGGGCGATCTCAATAGGGCCCCGGGGTCTTTTCATGGGCTGTGATCCTTTTTGGATACACCTACAGCTTTCCCACCCAAACATTCCCCTCATCCTATTTTTCCTGCTCCTTAAAGGAGCTCCATCATTTCTTCCTTTTTATCGTTGCTCTTTGAAAAGCCCCCCCCCCTTGCCCGGCGCCCTTTCATCACCCGCTGAGGTCATGGCGGGTATGTGGGTTTGGCGTTCCTGGCTAATCGATAACAATGTTCCCTCACCTGACAAAAGGAACGTGCTCTGAATGCTAAGAGCCGAAGGAATGATGGGAATGTGTTTGAGGATTAAGTTGGATTTCTAATCCGCTGGAAGCCAACAGGAAGTGTTGGAAAACCGGGATCCGACGGCGGTTTGCTTCGGTCAGAGATCAGCAGCAGCCCGACGGATCCTGCCTGTTGGCCTCCATGTTATTTCTCTCGTGAGGCTGCAAGTCGCTGCAGGTCTTTCCCTGGAAGGGTGAAATGGGGAGGGGTCGGGGAGCAAAATTATCCCTCTTTTTTAGTGCAGTAAATCAAAAGGCTATTGTCACTAAAGAAAAGGAAACTTCCGGCGGCTTATTGAGGCGTAACCGACCAGTTTGGTCTTAAATTGGTTTTAATTGGCACCATTAATGGCAGCGCCTGTGGCAGCTAATCAGTGTAAAAAAATCCTCTTTAGTTAGAGTTAATCCAAACCAACCTGAGCCTGTTGAGTCCATTTGTTGGATCTTGTAGGAATGTGGCTGGTTTGGCACTCAGCCCCCCCCCACCCCACCCCTCTGGATCATTTGCAAGAGAATGAGGTGGGTCTTTTTTTTTTTTTTAAGGGAAGTTTTTCTTTTTTGTCTCCTTTGCACGACGGGGCGCTCTGAAAGCCGGCGTGCTGAAAGGACGCTGGGAAGGAGGAGAGCGTGATAAATAGTGGCGCTGGGATGTAATAATGGTTCCTGCTTTGCTGTCCGCTGGTCTATAAAATCCCTTTGGGCCGAGGAATGTTGGCACAGAGAGAGGAGCTTTTTGTCCTTCCTGGCTGAGCTGGCCGGCCGCCGAACCCGATCTCCCTCCACCCCTTCCAACCGCTGCATACTCTGGCTGCGCTGACGGGAACTATATGAATGCATTTGGGACAGAAGGCCTTCTAGAACTGTTATTGGACTGATCGACTATCTGATCGACTGTTTGACACCAGATGATTGGCTGAAATATTCGTGCGTTTCTTCTGTTTATTGGCGGTGGTTCTGGTTTTGGCTGTTCTTAGCCCAGACGTTAAAAGCAGCCATTTTATTCTGAGCAACAGTTCTCAGCTATGATTAGATCCAGTTTGCTCGGTCTAATCCAGGACTCAGTCTATTGTTCCAGGCCCAAAGCCCGGTTATTTGCAGCTCCGCTGAAGTGGTCGGCCATACGTTATTCTGTGGTGCTGATCCGGACAGACCTTCCTTTTCCTCTCTGTTTGCCCTTAGCCCTGTTTGTTTACTCCACTCCGGTTCTGTTTATTGTTTGCCAAGGATCATGTGGTAACAGACCGTAATCTGGGTTCTGTTGGTCTTTGCGGACGTTGTGTAACAGAACCGGTTGCTGCCGAGTTCTGTGGAATTTTCCTCAGTAAATGAGACCAATTCAAATTAGTCTGTGTCTCAGTGAAAGTCCTCACACATTCCTCCCAGATGGGGCGGGGGTGCAGAACAGCCCCTCTTTGATGTTTTGCTTCATTTTCAGGTCTTTGGAACTTTTGTGTCCAACTCTCACAGAACTCTGGCGATGAGGTCGGGTTCTGGGCCTCTGCCGAACAGCCGAACTCCAGGCTGTAATTTTCCAGAGCTCCCGGTTGTTTAGGTCCGGACTCTGAGACTGTTTTCCTGCTGGACTGACGTGGGTTCTCCGACAGTCGGTTTGCTTTGGCTCCTTCAGAGACGAGACAGGAATGTGGTGGCTGACTGAGCAGCCAAGACCTCGACTACCGGGCCGACCCACATCCAGCCACATTCCTTACTCGGTTCTAATCCACAAACTGAGCCAGAGTCAGCATAAAGTAGTTCTGGACCAAGAGCACCTCCAGGCCTGACTGTCCCAGTACTCGTTCCTGGTTCTGATCTGGCAGAAGAACATTTAGCATCCCAGAATGAGTTAAATCTGCTTCTTTCCAGTGTGTCTGGACCTTGGTTCTGGTCCTATTGATCCTCTTTGTCCAATGCATATTTAACAGGAAGTTGAAATCTGAAAGTGTGAGAGAAGTTCTGAGTAATTGTAATAATAGTGAGTGAGTCTAACCAGGCTGATCCTCAGCTTTTTCCTGGAAATCAATGGCTCTTATTGTGGCGGCGCCTTCACTCTGATGAACGAGTCTGGAGGAAAATTCAATCGTTAAGCTCGTTTCCTCTCAGGATTCATATCCTGGAGTCTCTGGAGACTTTTGTTTGACACTGAATGGTTTTGTTTCAGACAGATGTCTTCTGCCTTCCTGCCTTTTTTTCCTTTACATTTCCTGACCTTTAACGCCGCAGCCGCATCTTTCATCCTCTGAGCTCCTCAGCCGGATCGTCTCTGATCCAAAGCAGCCTGGCGCAGAGGTGTCAGATCTGAGGGATGGAGGCAGCAGGAAGAGGCCGAGCCCCGCTGCAGGCAGTCGGCTTATTTGTCCATCAGTCACGTCTTCAAGTATAACTGGATGTCGTTCTGTCCACCAATAAAAGCAGCTTGGGTTAGATCAGAAGCTCCCACAGGAGGCTGCTCATTAGGCTCATTAAATCAGAACCAGCTGGCCGCTTTTTAGTCCGACTCCTTGGACCGGGAAGTCTGGGAGAAAACTGCAGCTTCAGAAATAACAGCAGCCGTGTTTATTTCTGATCAGACTGAGCAGCAGGTCACAGGGTGGTTTCTGCTTTCTCTGACTGAGCGTTAACCCCAGAGCTGCTGGGCTAAAGATAGACTGGATGTCAGGTCAGGGAACCGGTCCAGGTATCCTGGACGTTGTCAGAGGAAGGTGTTGTTGGTTCATCTAAAAACCTGATCCTCCTGTATGGCCGACCTTTGAGGCGGAAAGGGTCCAGATCAGCCGGTTTCTTAGGGTCTGACTGGACACCAGATTCTGGTCTGGTTCTGATCAGGGTCCGACTGGACACCAGATTCTGGTCTGGCTCTGTGCTGCACATGGGGCCGTTTATGTCTGGTTTCCAGGATGTTTGGACCGCAGCAGCGCCACTCTTTGTTTCTGTTCCAGAGCTCTAACACATTTGGTTCCAATCAGCCCGCTGGGATCCGCCGCCGTGGCGTTACCGGGGCAACAGTCGCATTTGGGCAGCCATCCATGAGCCCACATCCAGCATCGCTCCTTAGACTCGACCCGAAGCCCAGGAGATGGCTGCAGGTCGGGTGGAGTTGGGTTTGACCGAACCGTTGCAGTCGTTAAAGTTTAGGAAAGGCAGGATCTGACTCGGAGGTTCTGCAGACCCGTCTTCAAACGGGTCCATTCAGGTTTCCTTTGTTGGATTTTGGGTTCTGCTTCTTGTCAGACAGAAGATTCTCAAGGATTTTTAATGAACCAGGTCATTCTGTTTGGGTCCTATTGGGTTTTGTCAGCATGTGTCTGGACCTCAAGGGGCCTATTATGGACCTGGTCCATTAGAACCAGCACCCACTGGTGAGGTCTGATCCGTCGATCCAATCCTTATGTAACGGATCCAGTTTTCCCGCCTGAGTGAAGCGTTTCTGTTGGCCTGGAACATGTTTCATAACACAGTGGGGGTCAAAGGTCGGGAGCTGTGAGGGTAAACATTAACATGGAGACATTTTGAGCCAGTTTAACCTCTACTGGGCCAGATCTGTAAACATAGAACCAGTACGCTGTAGAATTGTGTTCCAAATCCGCTGGCGGTTCATTAATAGACCCAGCCGGTTCCACCAGAGCCAACAACGTTAAGGTCATTTTTTTTTTTTAAATAATATAAAAAGATATGTTCTACCCCTGTGGCGCTCAGAACAGAAAAAGTTGTTTTGATTATTTTCTTAGTTCTGTGGTTCTGGTTTATATATAATATTTACTCAGTAATGCAGAAATGGCTCCAGTCGGCGCCGCCTGAGGCGTTTTATTATTACTGATCTGTTTCTGGGGCCTGAAAACCTTCCGGAAGCCGCAGAGAAGAGAAGCAGACCTGAGGCCTCGGCACAGAACCAAAGCTGAATCATTCTGGGTTTAGTGGGGCAGGATTCCTGTGACATGACTCAGCAGACGTGTAGCGGCCTGCAGAACCACGAGTCACAGTGGTTACAGTCATTAGGAGAGCGGCTGAGGGGTTCAGGCGGGTCCAATCCTGATCCGTCTGACGTATCAGGATTTGAATCTGGAAAGAAAAGAGCTCACAGCATCAGAACTGAAACCAGATTTATCCTGGTTTGGTTTCTGTCCGGGTTCAGATCCGCTGATGATTAAATGTCCGAATCAGTTTGGCTGAATTCTGCCTCTCAGATTAGCTGTGTATGAGTGGGGGGGTAATTAATCTGATGTTGGGGGTTAATCCCATTTGCTGATGGGATTAGAGGAGGTCGATGTCTCTCTGTTCTGTGGGGGTTTGGTTCAGTTCTTTTGGACTCTGTGCCGACGAGATGTGGCGGGTTCTTCTTCTCTGAACCGTCCGTTATGTCCCAGCAGGTGAGGGAGACGGAGACGTGGATGCCCATCAGGACCACACAGACTGTCGCCATGACGACAGGCGACCTGGAGGCATCAGGGGACACTTCCAACGGCTCAGACTTTGGCTTCTCTGACGACGAAGACGATGATGAATACGATGCATCCGGGTCGGGAGGAGGAGGTGGGTTCTGGTTCTGAAGCCGACGGCTCCTATTTAAACCCGTTCAGTTCGAATGTAAAGCCTTGTTTTTTTTTTTCTCTCCAGAACCCGAGCCCACAGAAAGAGAGTCCAGACCTTCAGTTGAGGTAAGAACCCTTCAGCTGGTTCTGATTCTGGGATGTTCTGATCCAGTTAAGAGATGAGTTCTCACAGCATTGTTTCCTCCGCAGCCTGACATCAACGATAACCGGATCCCCGACCTGCATCTCCCGGTGCGGCCCACCGTCAACGAGATCGAGCTCGTCAAGGACAAGAACGAGATCCGTCTGCTGGGGAACGAGCATGGACCCAAGGACGAGAACCAGTCCAACGTCCTGATGTCCCAGGCCACGGAGCACAGCATCTTCAACAAGACGGAGGTTCTGGCAGGTTAGTAACCGGGTTTAAAAAGCCCAAACTTACAGCGTTTGTGAAAAACCACCTGATGTGCTTCAGTTCTGACTCCCGACTCCTCGTGTTCCTCCAGCTGTGATCGCCGCCTGCGCCGTCCTCCTGATGCTCGCCGTGCTCCTCATCCTCTTCCTCATCTACCGCATGAAGAAGAAGGACGAAGGCAGCTACGACCTGGGGAAGAAGCCCATCTACAAGAAGGCCCCCACCACGGAGATCTACGCGTAGACTCCGCCCCCTCCTCCCTGACCTCTCACACACACAAACACACACACCTCAGCTCTGTACAAACCCATCAGGGCCTCATCTCCATCACCTCACCTCCCTTCAACAGAGTGACATTGGATGAATCCGGAGCCCCCGACGACTCAACCTATTGACTGGCTCCTCCTCCTCCTCCTCACACCTGTATGAAAATAACTGGCCAATCAGAGGAGGGGAATCCTGGAGCGGCGGGATTGGACCGGTTCCGCTGCGGCGTGCCGTGTTTTTTTGTTTTATTCGGATCTGTCCTCGAGTTGAAAGGAAAAAACAACAGAACGGACTCTTCCTGCTTTACTCCCGTTAAACACTAACATGTTATTTATTCACTCGTCTTCCTCGTCTCATTTTTCACAACGGAAAAATCAGACGGCTTTTATTTCGCCTGTAGGCAGTAGGTTTTCTGTTCTAGATCACAATCATGTTTTTTTGTTTCCTTTTTATTGTTTTATTTCGATGCGTCGGGATCCCAGGAGGCAGAGCTTCCGACTCCGACCCGGAAGTTCTGCCTCCGGTCCGACGGGAAGCCAGCGCGGAATGTGGCTCCGCTGCTGGGAAGGAGGGGAAACGATCACCGCCGTGCCTCCAGTTTGGCAGAATATTTTTTATTTTTAGAGAAAATTGTCTAAGTGGTTTGGACTGAGATGGAAAATGAATTCCCTTCTTGTTCTTGGAAGTTCACTGAATCCCACCCCTCCCTTTACTGTTGCTCTCTGGTCCAGATAAGCCGGCCCGGCCCTAAAATTACTGCACTAGTTCTACTGGTACACCAAGTGACCCGACCCCTTAACCCCCGGTACGATTGGCAGAACTTTCTGGAAAACCTTTCCGTCTGGCTTTGGTTCTGTTGTTTTTTTTCACAGTGGGTCGGACGGTTCCCTTTATAAGCTACACCGACTGTTTCTCTGATCGACCTGAGGATCCACGAGAAAACATGAAGCCGACTAAAAGAAAAACGAAACAAAACAAAAAAAGGTCGGAAACTCATTTCTCAGCCAGAGACCTAAACGGGTCCGACGTGTAAATAGTCATTCATTTAAGAGCAAATCGTATCTAAAGGTTGGTACTTTGGCCGCATCCTGGCAGCACAAATGTCTACCAAATATTTAAAAAGCCAAATAGTTTGTGTTTCCCGCGGCGACGTTCACGTGATTGACTGTAAATGTAAAGTTTTGATACTAACGGGCCTCCTGGTCGTCCTCCATCAGATCAACACCTTCCCTTTTTGTATTAATTTAACTGTCAGATGATTTTATTGCCTTCCTTCAGGTACGGGTGTCTGGCCCTTTTAAGCTGTTGTACATGTGATTTTAAAGTTTTATATACACTAGTTGGATTTTCAGAGACCTAGCTTTGAAACGTTTTAATTTTTTAAGAAGTTCTTTTATCTTTAGACTTTTTGTTGCTTTCATATTTATGTTTTTTGCTGTTTTTATGTGTAGAAGAAGTGATCATTATTCAGGGGATGTTATGCTATGAACCACGTTGACGCCGGCGGACCTGGGCCTGACCGTTTATTCTTCTTTTGTTACTGAAATAAAACGCAGCGGACGTTGATGGAAAGTTCTGGTTCCTCAGTGTCAGTTCAAGGTTGTTCTTCTTTTTGCTTCCCTAGAAATATTAATAATAAGTCCTGATAGAGATCAGGAAGAGGAGGAGCTCCGAGATTAGGAGCTTGTTGAGGAAAAATAAATAGCGGGTCATCCCCAGGTCCGGTGGGTCAATGTGGAGAGAATGTTCTGCTGCTTAATGTCAAACACCAGTGGGGCGAAGAAGCCAATGAATCATTGGTTTCTACATGCAGATTCTGATTTATTATTGGAAATAAAGCTATTTTTATGCACAGTAACAGTTTAAACCCGTCTCTGTTTTCTAATTTCTCTAATAACTAAAATATGAAACAGTTGAGAGGAAAATAGACTCCAAACTGGCCTTTTGGTAACAAACCTGTAAGATAAAATCTATACTAGAACTAAAAAAGCTTCCTTAAAGGTTTTTTTTTTTTTTTTTTTTTTATGGTTGCCGAGTTGTCAGGATGAGCAGCTGAATAAATGGTTTAAACCAAACGCCAGAGCAGGAAGTCATCAGAACGTCATTTTTGACTTCAGTACAGTTAGTAAAACATTACATAAACTTTAAAAGATAAAACATTTTATATCGTCCACAGGAGATTTGTTTTAAAGAACCTCCATATATTTCAGATTTTGAAATTAAGGGAATAAATTTGCAAAAACAACACAGGTTGCTGGAAATTTTGAAAACTTTTGCAAAAAAACATTTTCCCAAATAAAGATTAAAATGTATAAATCCACTTATTTTGAAAGTTAAATAAAACTGTTGACTTAGTTTGGTCTTTTTTTTTAGCCAAGGTGCTAAAGGGCCAGAGGATGCAGACCCATTGGTCAGACTGTTTAGTCTGAATATTTCCTAAAAGGAAAGGATCTCAAAATCTTCCTCAGGAAATTCAGATCAACATCAGAGCGTGAAGCCAGGAGCTCCAAGGCAAACTCTAAAGGCTTCAGCTGGCAGGTCAAAGGTCATGATCCTGGACGTCGCGTCTGGGACGGATGAGACCAGAATGGAGATGTTGGATCATAACAAACAGCCATGTTTGGAGGAATCCAACACCAGATTCTACAGAAAATATAAAACCTTATTTTCATGACTGGACATTCATAGGTCTATAAACGAAAACATAAATGAGGAGAGAAGCCAGAGGTTCGGTATGTACTCAGGTGGATCAGGATGAAAGCGCTCCTCCACCTGAACAAACAACTTTTCCCACTCCGCCTGTATTTGTGCGTCTCTGCGCCTGGATATGAAAGCACGGTTGGGTGTGAGCGAAAATGATGCATTGGCGTGTTGGGGTTGGACCCTTCCCAGAAACGCTGCATTCATCCAGGTTCCGCCTGCGGTGGCCTTTTTCCCGGCAGGCAGCAACACGTCTACAGGTTCTGTTTGAGCGTCAACAACAACAAGAAACAGAAATCACAGAGGAAGATTTGTTCAGTTGGCCCAGCCTGGTTCCGCTCCAATGAAACCTTTAGAAATCCGGGCGGTTCTGCTTTCTTTCAGCTGCAGAATGACTTCATTTTTTTCTATTTGCTCTTATTTTACATAATTTAGTATCAGTGATGTCATGAAACCTAATTTGTCGCTTTATGAGTAAACTGAATTAAACTGAAACTTATACTTTAACATGAGATTCGTTTCTGTAATAGACACAGACATTTAAAGAGAAAGGCTTGTTCTGACTGGTTTGTCTGTGTTGCTCCATTGATGACTACAGTTTGTTCTTTTACTGTCAAAAACTTGCCCCTGTGGCTATTAGGAAATGTTAACCAGTGTTAGCTGTTCTCCAGACCTGCACGTCATGATTCATACAAAAACCGACATCAGAGTATAAAGACAAATTAGAGGAAGAACATTTAGAAAATATATTTTTATTATAATTAACCTGTTTTGTCTTTTTTTCAATAACTGGTCTATCTGGTTGGTAAAAGCATAATTTGGTGTTATTGTTTTTTAACACTACTTTACTAACAGCTCGATTAAAAAATATCAAACTTTTCTTTGTTCTTTGCTTTTATAAGTAGCGCTCCCTGTGGTCATTAGAGGCAATGCAAGAATGATGACAGTTCTGCTTTCATCCAGGTCTGCATGGGTACCCGGACTAGAAAAAAGGGGGGTCCAAGTGAACTCTATTAATTTTTTTTATCAAAATGCCATAAATTTAAAAAAAAAATCAGAAGAATAGTGATTGAAAATGATCAGATTATGTCTCAGACCAAACCCATGTTTCTGCTCGGCCATGTCCTGCCACACTGTGACCGCTGATGTCTGTGTCCAACCTAACACCTAAACCCCTCAATCACTATTTAGTATAAGGGACTTTATAGTGAACTCAGTTAACTGACCGTTCAGACAGATGATCACTATTTTTCGCTCCCAGTTGATCATGTAACTCCGCCTACCCGCACGGTGCCTGCACCATCTTTGTTATTAGTTGCAGATGTGGGTTAGAGACAACAAATCCCAGGAGAGCTCCCCTAGCAAACCATTCCGGGATATTTCTGCTTGTCTACTGACCATGGATGATCACTACTTTTTGTCATGATTTTACTAAGGTTCAGACCCAAATGCAGAAGACCAAACAGGGAGACCAGGGAAAAGGTTTAACAGGTTTTATTGAAGAGATAATTCAGAGAGAAGTGTTGCTCTGAACACTGCTCAACCGGAACTGAAAAGTGAGGGGAAGACACAGCGGTTAGTTCAGGCTCAGTGGGAAATTTGACTTGTGAACTTCTAGAAGAGGATTTGGTTGCTCACTTGCGTTTCTAGAGAAGTTGTTGAATCCTTGACTCCAGTCTGTATGGCTGTAGTTCCAGTGTTTGTCTGATTCAGTGGAGGGCGGAACAGGGTTACCCAGAATGCGGGTGTTAATAGGTGAACGGAGAAAACTGACTGCCACTGAGATTTCCTGCGGTACTTGAACGGGTCGTAGTGGAGATTAATCCCTTTCTCAGTGCGAAGCTCAAACGATCTCTTGGGGAAAGTTGATCCAAACCTCCTGTTTGAAACCCAGCTCAGTTTGTAACTCAGTTTATCCTTCCAGGGAGAGAAGGTCAGAAAAATACAGTTTGCAGGATGACTTCCTGCCGAGAGGCAAAGACAAAAACAAAGTTAAACTCAGGTTGACGAGAACTCAGATTTACTCAGCTAAACTCAGCTTGGCTAGAGTACCCAAAACTGGTAAACACTCTGGCGTCGAGGTAGTGGCAGTCAGCAGCTTAAGAACACTCGAAGTAACCATCAGCAGGTGTGTGAGGAGGCGGACCAGAACCAGGTGCCTGCTGGTGTAGGAAGGGAAACAACCACAGAAAACACAAACAGACAGACAGGAGTCCTGACACTTTTCAAGATGCATTATGGGAAATTTTGAGTCCACTACTTTTTCATCCACTAGACATTCGGACGCTCATCTAAAATGGCGAAACCACTTTATAGTGCCCTATACAGTGGTTAGAGCGGACATTCGGACACAGCCTATTTATTCACTGGATAGCCGATAGGCTGAAAAAACTGAAATCCCTTGCCGCCATCTTGGTACTCGCTACTCTCACGGAGTGGCGCCATAAAAATGCCATGCACAAGTTACAGTGTTTGCCGTGAACGCGTAGGCTAGTAAGCAGGGCTATAGAGGGCAGCGGATAGACAGCTAGTGCCCTTTTACTGGCTGGACCAAACATCACTATGCTTTATGTGGACGAACAACTGCAGCACACCAGTGATATAGAGCCTAAACTACAGGTACTCGCTGTGTGGGGGAGGGGTGAAAGAAACACTGCAAAGACATACTTCCTGACTCTGATTGTCAGGAGATCAGATGTTGGAGATCGGCCTGTTTTTCGGTGTAGTCCTGTTTCTCTGACTGTGACTGGCTGGATGTGCTCTCCTCATCCTCTGACATGGGAGTTGGTTCAGAGCTCGTCTGCCTGGCTGTGTGTTTCCTGGACGGGGCCTCCTGTTGCCTCTGTATCTCTGCTTCTTTCTGTATGTCTTCTTCTGTCACCTTGAACCCAAGTCAAGTGGTTCTGCTGAAAGGTTTTCTTCCTATTAAAAGGGAGTTTTTCCTCTCCACTGTCGCTACAAGTATGCTTAGTGTGAGGGATTGCCTTCGAGTCAATGAGTTGATGCAATTAGCTGGTTTTCCTTAGATAGAAAACTTTTAATCGATTTGACTGGATGAGCTGGTGAACTGTAAAGTGCCTTGAGATGACATGTTGTGAATTGACGCTATAAAAAATAAACTGAACAGAACTTATTGGATGATTCTAACTTAGAACTCTGTATCTCTAAGATAAAGAGAATGAGCTTTTTCCCAGATTATCTTTCTTATTTTGTACCTTTAGGACATATAAGTCAATATTTTTTTACTTATATGTCCTACGTTACCAACTGCACCTCTAATAGT